ATAATAATAATTATTATTATTATTATGTAGACATTCGCTGGCTGTAAATGCAAATGAAAAGACGGCGAACAGTTGAATTCGTGACTCAATGCGCACAGCACAAGTGTGTGCAGGCAGGTGTATAATAGACCAGAGTGTGGGTGTGTGTGTGTGTGTGCTTGCCTTACTTCAATTGCATTTACACAAACCTAAACAGACTCATACACACACACACACACACGCCCACGTAGACAAACAGTCCCACACAGTTGAAACTCACGTAGACGTTGCATAATTGAATTAGCCAAACAACGACGACGGGCTACAAAATGCCTCAAACAATGGCTAATAATGCTATGTGAATGGAAGCCCATAGGGGCATGGCAGCTGCAACAGCAACAGCGGCAGCAGGTAATTGTGTGGCAATAGTCCCTGCGGGAGAGCAGGAGGGAGGGGGCCTGGCGCAGTGGGGAAATGAACAATGCACATTGCATGCGACCCTCTGATGTAAAATTCTGTAGGCAGCCGACAGGAAGCAATTGGAACGAGCTAAATAGCTCACATTATTTATTTTCATGTTGTTGTAAATCTCAAGGAATGGACATAAATATATGTCGTTCCCATACACAATTTATTCAAGAAAGAATTTGTTTCAAATGTGCCTAAAATATATTTTTAAATAAATATAAATACATATATGATCCATTTTTTTTTTTTAAATACTTGCTTAATTACATAATTTAAGCACATTTTTGTTGATTTATATACATTGTATGTGCATTATACAAATGAAATTAGTTTAGCTGCAACGATATCATTTTACTAATATTACAATTTATTTCGAATTACAATTACCTTTGCAATACACAATTGTACACACTCACACACTCATACACTACTATACACAATAGTCAATTAAAAGCTGGGATTTAGCCCACACTAACCCGCCCCCCTCCAACTTAATATGACATAAATTGTAGTCGGCGCTCAACTCCATAAAATTAATTGCCATTGAATTTTTAATTAACTAAAACTAAAAACGGCTCCCAACAGCAAAACTGTGACTAATTTCAAGAGCTTTGCCGCAACGCCACCACAGCCCACGCCCCCTCGCCCCATTGGCAACAGCGAATGGATTTGCCACGCGCTCGTTTTGTATTAATAGCTCATAAATAAATTTTCCAAAAAGAACTAATTGCTTTATTTTGCGTGCCTGTATTTTGTTTATGGCGAAAAATAATCTCAGCATGCCGCATGACAACAACAAATCGAAGTAATTTTCATGGGAATAGTCGACGAGCAAATATGCTGCAGTCAGTTTCGACAGATAGACAGATATCTATGGATGTATATCATAAATAATATACTATAAATATATGATATACATTCATGAGTATTTACCTAACTATGTACATTAAAAGTATAGTTCAGAATATAGATTATGTTATACATTTATGCAAATAGTCAAGAGACTAAGCACTAAATGCTCAGCAACTATATTATATGTTAAATAGAATAGAACACAAATATTTAGAATAATACACTCTGTTAGTTATTTAGATGTTTTTTAGCGCATCTGTTGAAGAACAAATCGAATTGTTCATAGAAATAGTAGAGGCTACTACAAAAGGAAAACAAAAATGTTTAAAATTAGCCTTGCTTAGTATATATAGTGTGCCAGATATACTTTCTGATCATGTATATATACATAGATATACATATTTCGTATCATAGATAATAATACAGAAGACTCGAATAACCATATATCTACATATATAGGCATATAAGCATATAGTTGCCTAAAGGTGAAGCGTAGGACGGTCTTTAAGTAAAATTAAACTCATATCTGGATCGATACCGACTGCCAGTGTATCAAAATTATCTCATCATCGCAACTAACTTGAAT